ATCCTTTGAAACCCATTTTAAAATCAAACATTGCATTACCATGAATATTGTACATCAGAATCATGTTACAAAATGTTTTCATTCATGAATTATAAAAAATGAAGTTTGGATCGTGCACTTTCACGTCTATGTTCAAAAATGTGAGACAGTTAAGGGGTTAAAAAATCATAACCTTCATTTGTAGTCTTATTTTTTTCTGTTTTTAAGCTAGTCGAGGTTTCTTGAACCGAAAGCAGGAATTTAGTTTTTCACGATAATTCAAAAATTTACCTAAATATATATATATATATACATCAACAGATGTTTTTTTTTTTATCTATTATTCATTTAATGCTATTATAGTTTTCCGAACGCTTTGAATCGGCTTTGATATTTTTTTTAAGTTAAGTTTAGTAAGTTTGTAATGTGCTTATATCATTTTTTTTTTCTATTTACTGTTAATTTAGTTTTATTTCAGAATAAGTTTTAATAAATGTGTTGAGTGTTTAGCATTTATTTATTTCTATTGAGCTTTACGTTTTTCTTTTCAAACTTAGTTTGAGTAATTTCAGTACTAAATACATTATGCCTTAAATTATTTTAATATTATTTATGCTCTGTTATAGTGTTTATTAGGTTTTAATTTTATATTTTCAGATTTAATTTGAGTTTAGTAATTTTGTAATATGCTTTTGTCGTCTTTTTATATTTCTTTTTAAATATTTATATTTAACTGTTATTTATTTTTAGTTATTTTAGTGCTTACGTTTTGTTTATTGTTTATTATATGTTTATTTCAGCTTTTTTTCAATGAACGAAAAGCGTTTTTATGGCATCTTACGTCACTGATCCAGATGCAGAAGACTGGTGTTTTTGTCTTGGCAGAATCAAGCAGTGCAAGAACTACTATGAGATTCTCGGCATGCAGAAAGATGCTTCTGAAGACGATCTTAAGAAAGCCTACAGAAAACTGGCGTTAAAGTTTCACCCTGATAAGAACCACGCTCCGGGAGCCACGGAGGCGTTTAAAGGTACGGCACACCGTCATACGCTTGCTTTGCTTGCAGTGCACTCTATCCACAGAAACAGTGCTTGCTCTTCATTAACATCTGGACCGTGAGGGATTTATTTGAAAGTGTAATGAAGTAGATATTGCTGTGTAACGGTGGTTATGTGCTGCAGCTATAGGAAACGCATATGCAGTTCTGTCTAATGTGGAAAAGAGACGTCAGTACGATCAGCTGGGCCCGGGCCGATCCAGCCAGACCCACGACACACACTTCCAGGCCGATATTTCACCTGAAGATCTCTTCA